AAAATCATGCTTAATAGAAGCAAGCAAAATGGAGTTCTTGGATATCAGAAAAGAAATGTCCTGTCAAGTAGGGGAAGTTCATGTTGCAGTGTATGCCTCAGAAGACTATAACCATGTGTCTATACAGGGCAGATCTCCTGTCTGTTTACACACCCCAGTGTGAACATGGGAAATCCATAAAAAATCGTAATGCTGGCTGGGTACCAAAAGCATCCTTTTCTCCCTGAACATGACCCAGGGAGTAACACTTTCCTCAGGACAAAAAGGCAGTTATATCAAAGACCAAATACATTGGGGAAGAGGACATTAGGAAAGGTTATTTGTATTACTTTTCTGAAAACAATCAAAGGTTCTAGTGGCAGGAGAATACTAAGAGGATGGAACTATCAGGACAGAAAGATACCTATATTTTTATATACTGTTCAAATCGTAATAATGTGTTATAAAATGCTTAATATGAAGTTTCATCATAGTTATGGGAAAGAACTTCCCCAAATACTTTGAGAATCAAGCAGGAGTATGTGTAGGTCCTGGGCTTGAGGTCCAGAAGCCTTCTTTACCCTGACCTGCCAGTAAGACAGTCCCTGCCTGTGAGTGGATAAAGCTGGTTTTCTCTGAGAAGTCCTCTCTGTTATCAGCTATTCCAATCCTGTAGGATCAGACCTTTGATAATTCTTCTAGAAATCCCTCAGGGACTTCATGTTAAACTAGAGATACCAAGTTCTTTATTTTCCTTTCCACCCCTTTGCTTTCCTCCTTTTCCCCCTCCTCGCCCTTCCTTTCTCCCCTCTTTTCCCCTTCTCCCTCTCCCTTTTTCATTGTCCTGTTTTTTAGGTATTTCTCCCCCATGACCGTTGGAAATCTGTATTCTTTGCTGTTCAATATTGCCTAATTCTTTATCACTCTTATTCATTTCCCATAGACTGAAAAAAGGGAGTTCCAGTGTATTATTATCTTAGTCTCTAAAACAGTACTATTAACCTAACTCTCATAAAATACTGATAGATTTAATAGGTGTGCCTTTACTTTTGACCATTATTTACTAGCAGTATCTAGTAATACTTTCTCATGGTTTAACAAGATCATAGCTTTAGCCCATGGCACCGTGTCATAACCTCCCTTGGCTCTTCTCTTTAACTTGTAGTTTTGCTTTCAGCTCACTATCTAATTCTTACAAAATTCGTTTTGGTTTTAATTTCTTTACTTCTGCATGTAAATCACTAAGGTGCTGAAATGGGTGTATATGAATTTCACCTCTTTTGTTTATTTGCTCTTGATATTTCTCCTGGATTTCTCAGTTGTCATCCTCCTGTCTGTTACTGGCATAACATCATTTGGCCTCCTACTTTCATTTCTTCCTTCAAATCCCATTGCATGCCACAGTAATATTTTCTGTAGTATTTTTACAGTTACAGATGCTTTTACTTGTACAGTTTCATCTTCTTATTTCAGAATGCCAAAGTAGATTACTAACTCCATTTGTAGATGAGGAAACTAGTTTCATAGAATTACTCGAGACCATATGATCTACCAGTTTTTCTGTAAATAAACGTTCTTTAATTTAAAAAAAAAAAAAAAGGCTTAGAGCAGGTTATAAAATAAAAACTTTAAGGAGTCAGAGTACTCATTTTTCTTTTTTCCCTTTTCTGTAGGATATAAAAGCTGGAAATTCAGTAAATATTACATTAAAATCCTGATTTTTTTTATCTTTTTGCTCAAAATAAAAGGAATACTAATCTGTAACCTTTCATTGAAATAAATGGATTAGAAAGTTAATTAATTGTCACTATAGTAAGTCATACAGTCTTGGATATCAGAATGCAGTAATTAAATGTTGGGGCCTCTTTTTTTTATATATTTTTAAAGCCACGTCAAGCTAACTTGGCTATAGGAACTGGGTTCTTCATTTCTAAAATACTGTCTTGGGATACCAATGTGGATTTTTTTTATGATAAACAAAAAAGGTATTGGTAAAGAATTTTTTTGTTTGTTTTGACACATTTCTGCTTCTGAAAGCTTTTGGGACATCAAATTTTCACTTCTCAAGTTATTAGCCATTGCTGAAGTATTTATAAAATTAGTCATTGTTGGGGGATACTAATATATACATGATTCTGCCTTGACAGCTTTTTGGGGTTTATAAACAGAGTCCTTAAGATATGTACTTTACTATATACATAAGTAATATGTACTTGAAGCTTAAGGAATATATCAGAAGTTTGGAATAACTTGTCACAGACATTGAGAAAGAGAGCTGATGGAAGACCATTAAAGTGTGCCAATGAGTATTGATTTTTTTTCTCAAGTTTTTTGAGATTAAAAACTTTTTTTTACTTAAAAATTTTGCATTATGCTATATAATGTAGGAGTGTCAGAATGAATCAGTGGTAGAAAATCTTGTAATATATAACTTCACCAACAAGTCAGATAAGACTTAGATAGATAGATATGTAGATACCAAAAGACATTTCATGTAATTCACTATGCATTTCTTGTAATAGATACTCTCTTGATCATGGTAAGGAAATGTCTACTTCAGATCAATAACAGTCATTGAATTTAAAAGTAAACTGATGGAAACCTACTGTTAATAATTACTAAAAGAACACAAATTACTGATGTCAGCATTATTATTTAACTCTTGTTGGATTTTCGACCCAATACATGTTAAAGAAATTAGAAGAAATAATGGAAAAGGTGAGACAAAATTATCATCGTTTGCTGGTAAGGATCTTTCTTAGAGAATTAGTGGAATTCATGAAAGTTTAGTGGAATAGCTAGTTTAATTTTAGTTTATAAAGGATAGAAATATTCTATAAATCATTTCTTTCCCAGTTAGATAAAATGATGAGAAGACACACTGTTTTCCACAGCAAAGCGACTAAAAATACGGTAAAAGACTTGAGGTAAAAGACAACTGAATGGTGAGACCTTTTAAAAAATGTAAGATATCAGTTATTCTTGATTAAAGTATAGTTTTTATATAATTCTGATGAAAATATCAGTAGGTTCAGATGTTTTGAAGAATAGGCATGCACACACATTACACATACGTTCTGAAAAAGGGAGGTTGATAGTGGGAAACTCTATTAAGTGGTTAAATATCCCACAATTATTTTCATTAGGATAGTGTGATTTTGTAAGATTAATCAGGCTACTAATGATACAGAATAGATTACCACAAAGAAATGTTTAAAGGTATTTGATATGTTGGTTGTGAATTGATGGAATTCACCAGCTATTTGGAGAAAGAAAAAGAATGCCTATTACACATCAAAATAAATAAATCCTAGATGAATTTAAAACAGGAGTTGGCAAATTATCTATCAGTAGTGGGTCAAATCCAGTCTGCCCTCTGTGTTTCTGTTTTGTTTTTCTGTATTCTGTTTTTGTAAATAAAGTTTTATTGTAGCATTACCACATTTATCCACTTACATAATATCTCTGGGTGCTTTTGCTTTACTGAAACAGAGTTGAGTAGTTCTGATAGTATGGCCTGTAAAGTTGAAAATATTTGATATCTGGCCTTTTGCAGATAAAGTTTTTAACCTCTGAATTAAAGAACTGTATTATAAACAGTGAAACCACTTTCTTAGTATTTTATTGCTGAAATAGAACTTTGTAAGAATAGAAGGAATCATAAAGGTAAAAACTGTCAGCTTTTGGCATAAAAATGGAAACTTGCAGTACATAAAATTATAATTCAAAGTATGTGTTGAGAAAATGTTGATAACATACTGTGGAGGGTTAATGTTATACTTTTTTTGTAAATTGATATTTAAAAGAAAACTGCAAATTGAAACGCCAGTGAGAAAAGACTTTTAAATGGCTTTTTTCACAAATTACTAGAATAAACATAATTTTTTGAGAAAGTCTGTCATTGTGTACCAAGAACTTTTACTATGTACCTTTTTGCCTAATAATTGCACTGTAAGGATCCTTTTCGTAGGAGTTAATCTTAAAAATAAGAGTATGAGTGTTCACAAAGGTGTCCATCATGTCATTACTGATTATACCAAATGTGTGGAAACAAATGGACCAATACTAGGTTGGGGTTATATAATCTCAGTGCCATGCAGGGCCATCAAATTGAAGCCTGCATTCAAAGGAAAAATCAGTAATACTGATCCTGTCCTTATTTAAAGTTTTGGTATTGTGTTCATCATGGAGTTTTGCATTTTTGATTTTCAAAAAATATTGCATTATAAAATATTATTTGTCTTGTTTACTGGATTTTAAGTTTATGTTTGAGGCAGATACCTCACTTACTTCACCCCAATCTGTTTTCTGTGTAATCTATTAAAATATATCAGTATTTCTCAAACTCAAGTAATATACAGACACCCCTCAAAAAAAAGGGAATATGTCGGAATTACCTGAGAATTCCAAGAATAACAAGTCTTGTGGGGTTTTGCAAGTTTCAGTGTGATAAACAATGAATTAAAATAAAAGTTAAATCTACCACTTAAAGATTTCACAGTGCAATAATTGTAAAAGCAAAGTTGGCACCGAAAACTTATAGCATAACTCAGGTATATGTGGTTATTTATGACTTAAAATATGTTTATATTTACTAAAAGAGTCATTGAAATAAAGATATAGTTTTAAAAAATAATTCTTTTAGAACTCTCAGACCCCTTATAATATATCTGAATAGATCTCAAGGACTCATGGACTTCAACATTAAAAAATACATTTAGCCACTAGAAGTTATTTTTTAATAATATGTAATAATATGCAAATGCTCAGTTGATTCAAGTGATCCAAAAATCATTTCGTAAGAATGGTATATTTGGTATAATTACAACCATGTAAAGAAAAAACCTCAGTGCAGGAGGGGAAAAGACTGGAAAGAAATATACCAAAAGAATAATGGTTGTTTTGGGGTGATGGAAATATGATTAGAATGTTTTTCTTATTTCTACTTGTCTAAATTTTGTATAGGGTGTATTACTTTTATAACAGATAAACAGCAACTTAAAATATTGTAAAAATATTAAGTCTGTGGCCATGCTACCCTGAACAAGCCCGATCCCATCCTGATCTTGGAAGCTAAGCAGGGTTGGGCCTGGTTAGTACTTGGATGGGAGACCACCTAGGAAGACCAGGTGCTGTAGGCGTAAAAAATAAAAAAATCAGGGATTGTAAACTGACAAGGTCCTTGCAATCTGTGAGGTCAACCAAAGATTGCCTTGCCTAAAAAAAAATTTTTTTTAAATAAGAATTTTCAAAAATAATTTGTAAATATCTGGTAGTGCTACAGGCTAAATAGACTAGCTGCTTTTTACTCTCAGCATATACAAACTTATATTCTCATTATAGTTTGCTACTGTTATTTCTTATTAATGTTAATACAGTTAATAAACATTTTCCACCTCTACATAGTAATAGTAAAAATGTCTTGAATGTCTGGATTTCTTTAGATACTTTATTACCTATTTATTTACTTATTTTCTTTTTTTAAAGGAGTATAATCATGGCCAACAGCAAAAAACTCAGGAGGGGGAACTGAAAATTAGTGCTGTGTTTTCAGTCAGTGGCAGTCCTCTTGGTAAGAAACAGAACTGAATAAATGAATCATGTTTGTTTATTCTGACCAATATGAGTGAGAAGAAGTATCTACTTGTATTAGTTAATGAGGCAGTTCTCTCTGCCCGTTTAGAATGGCTTTAATTGTATATTGCATAATTAGTGTTGGATTTCAAGACCAGTTCTAGAAGAGGAAGAAAGGATGCATACTTAAAATTCATGGTAAAAAGTAAAACATTTTTCTTTGAATTTTTTTTAAGCTCCACAGTTGACTACTGGCTTTCAACCTTCTCTGGCATCATCTGGCATGAATAAAATGCTTCCTTCAGTTCCTGCCACAGCTGTTCGAGTTTCCTGTTCTGGCTGTAAAAAAATCCTTCAGAAGGGGCAAACTGCATATCAGAGGAAAGGATCTACACAGCTTTTCTGCTCTACACTGTGCCTCACTGGATACACAGTTCCACCTGCCCGCCCACCACCTCCTCCCACCAAGAAAACTTGTTCAAGTTGCTCTAAGTATAGCAGAATTCTAAATTATCTTGTTTGTTTCCTTTCTTTTAAGATACTTTGTTCTTATCCATGTATTTGTTTAATTTTGTACATTTCTATGTGATTTTTTGAGAAATAATCACTTAATTTAGTACCAGCAAATAAGTTGTCACTTTTCTTTCTGGATGCTACTTCTTTCAACTTTAAATAATGTACCCTTTATATATTAAGAGAGATTTTTGAAACCAAGCTTTTCAGCCTTGTTAGTTGAGATGCATTACTTAAAAAATTATATGTATTATATATACACACACCATTTTAAGGGTATTATATGACCATAATATTTTACCTTGTAACTGTAGGCAATAGATTCTTAAATCCTAAATATTTAAAGTTATGTTTTCTGTTATGTAATTGGAATTCATTTAATACTTGTTGACATTAAATGGATTCAAGTATATGTATTTTTATCTTTTCAATATCTCTAAACTACCTCAGAGATTTCATTTCACTGTTGAATAACAAAAAAAGTATGACCTTAGACCTTATAAAGCCATCCTAATATATTTGAATAATAGGAACTAATTTTGGCTAATATTGTAAGGTTATTGATAGAAACTTTAAATAAATTAGAAAAAGGTGAATAATTCTTTGGTTCTGAAGTACTTTGGCTTATATTATTAAGCTATTCAAACTATGATTTATTAGTTTAGAATTTGCGTCTATGGTTCCTCACATGGATGCTGTCCTTTCTTTGTCTAGAAAGGGAAAAAGGTGCTCCCTCTTCTGGTTCACTTGGAAAAAGGCTTATAGATAAGAGACTTAAAAGAAATTTAAATATGATATTTTTCTGGAAGTTAGTCATATGCACATCCCTTTATATTTCAAGTTTAATTAGCAAAAATAGACTTCTTTTTTTATATTATTTGAATTATGGACCATGCTTTTAAAAATGAATACTTACTATACCACATGCCTAATTTCTATATTCTGGCGTATTCATCAGATTCTAAGATAAAAAGCAGCTTGAAAATTATAATTTTGATAGACTTTTTTCCTGTTTTCTATTTTTCAGTGAAATAATTTTACATAATAACCTCCTTTTATGTTTCTTTCTTTAATTCTTTAGGGATCAGCACTTTCTAAAATTTCAGTGGTATTTCTCCTTTCATAATAATAGTCATAGATAATTCTTTCAAAGATTAATGAGTGAATTTCAAAATGACCATAGAATACTCAGAGAAGTTTTAAAATGTGTACTCTCTTTCTGTTTTGTTATTCTTGTCCCGTATGTTATTCTTTAAATCTAAATTATATCCCTTTGGTCTCTGGTATTTGCCTAGTATTATCTGAAAACACGTCATTTTTATGTACATGTTATAGCTTATCTCTGTGTTTATCTTACATAATTCAATTATTCTTTAAAATTACATTTTTCTTTGTTACTCATAAATTTTCCATTTTTTCAGCCTGTCATTCTGTGACTCGTAACTGTACCGCTTCATTCATTTACTGTTACCTTTTTTTTCTTATCCCTTGTTCTTTTTCATTTGCCCTTTTCTATTTTTACTTCAGATTCTTCTTACTTACCTATCACTTTAACCTTTTTTTCTTCAATTTCTGTCTTTCTCTGCTTCTCATTTTATAGAATACCTTTTCCTCTTGTTGTTCATTCCTCAACCACTGATCAGTCTTATTTTTACTTGTATTCCGTTTCACTTCCTAAACTACTCTTTCATCTCCTTTTCACCACTTTGCCTTTCCTTCCCTTTTCTTTCCTCTTATTTTACAGTCATTGCAACAGTTTGGAATAATCCGGTTATCTGATTATAAAATTGTTGAATTGGGTTGTATGTTAAATATAAGGAAATTAGAGTCAGAGAAGTTAAAAGAATTGCTCAGTGTCACATAGCTGGTTAATTTTGGCACTTGCACCCCTCCCCCCATAATTCATATAGTTAATTTGTAAGTCAGTCTTTATAAGAAGGATTTCAGTTTAATTTGAATAGGTGGAGATAGAAAAAATTTCTTAACTGATAACTACTACTGCTGTTATAGATCAGTAGAAATAAAGCAGCAACACTTAGGTAATAGAAACTCACTAGCCATTTGGAATAGCAGTTTTGCTTTTCTTAATCTTTTATTAACCATATCTCTTAGCATCTTGAACTTAAACTGAATATGTTTTGGCTAATCATTATTTAATTTTTAGGTTTCCTTAGTAATAGGGACCTGATGAAAAAAAATATTTTAAATCCTACATAAAGAGAGGTAATTTGGAGGGTAATTTTGTTAGTCCTGTTAGAAAGATCAGATTTCTTGCTGTAATGGCACTCAAAGAAATAACTGTTTCAGGATTGTCTGTACCATTTCTGAATTTTCACTATCTAGGATGAGATTGTATCTTCTCATTCTGGCATAAGATGTAATCTACTACAATAAGATCTAATTGGACACTAAGCACACTGAGAGCAGTGAGAAATACCTACTTTTATACTTCCATTGACTTGATTTATGCTGCCCTCAACCCTTATCTCCTTAATTTTTTAGAAAACTATTTAAGGTCCAGCTCAAATGGCACCTTTTTTTGGATGATAGCATTTCATGTCACATATTATCTGAAATAATTTTTTTCCTTTTTTTCATTTCTGTTTCTATAGTACATTATACATACCTTTTTCAAATTTATTATACTACTTATTCATATTTTAAGAATCCTTCTGTTATAATATTTTATGTCATTTATCTAGTTGTTCCAGTAGACAGTGAGCTCCTTGAATGCATATTTGTACCATATCTTGATAGGGTTTCGTTAGTGCTTGGTTCAATACAACTGTTCAATAAATTCTATAAATGAAATACAATAAAACTTAATAAAAAAACTGCAAAGGCAAAAAATGCAGAAAGTAGAATAGTCTGGAGTAGAGTAGTAGATGAGGTATGTATTGCAAAATAGTGCAATATCAGCTTTTCCTTTGTGATGATTCCCGTGATGTTTACTATTATCTTTTATTGAAGTAGCTTTGTGATCTTTTGTAAAAAGTAGTTTGTATAATCTGTTTAAGATGCAGGAATGAAAATAGTTTATTTATTTACTTTTTGAGTGTGTACTCATGGGACTAGAGACACCATTTAGAAAATTTCATCAAAATGTTCTTAAAAAATTGATTTTTAAAATGGTTTATACTTAAACTGTTTGATAAACTGCTATGTAGGATGATACCTGGTTTGCAGGTGGGATAATGTGTGGAGTGGTAGGGAGCCTTTAATCTTCATTGCTTTTGCTACTAATGCCTACAAATTAAATTATTTAGATACAGAAATGTTCAGTTTTATATAATCATGCTAGAATGTTCACTGTAATTTGAAATGTATTTTTACTTTTAAAAGGTAGTGGTTTTCAAAAATTTTAAGTACAATATTTTTAAAGAATATTTTGAAAATATAGATGAGCCTGAAGAAAAAAAATTAAAATATATAATTTCACCTACTAGAGAATAATGAGTGATAACTGAGGTATATCCTTTTAATCTCTTAACAGTTCCATGAATTAAGTCTGTATTAGGTCAGTTTCATAGAACAGAACTTAAGGACCAAAGCCAATTAATCAGCTTATCCAAGAAAACCGAGATTTTCTGATTTATTTTTTTTATTGCTTGTGTATTTTATTTAGCTCACAAAAAGGAAAAAAATGAATTATGCTGTGGCTTATTTTATCTTTGTTATCATTTTCAGAGACATTTTAAATCCAAAGGATGTGATTAGTGCCCAGTTTGAAAATACCACCATTAGTAAAGATTTTTGCAGTCAGTCATGTTTGTCAACGTATGAACTGAAAAGAAAACCTGTTGTTACCATAAATACGAATAGTATTTCAACCAAATGCAGCATGTGTCAGAAGAATGCTGTTGTAAGTTACCTTTTTACTTTTTTGTGGGGAGGAGCCTAATATTTGTGTTTAAAGAACAGCTTTTAATAGTCTCTGTTTGTTGTTTGTATGTTATTTCTTAATTTCTAGATTCGACATGAAGTTAATTACCAAAACGTGGTACATAAACTTTGCAGTGATGCCTGCTTCTCTAAGTTTCGCTCTGCTAACAAC